CCTCCCTTCCTTCCTTCCTTCCTTCCTTCCTTCCTTCCTTCCTTCCATTTTTATTATTATTCCTTATGACATTTGTATGGCCTTATAAAAAGTCTCTTTTTGTAGCTTTAGATACGAAACTTCCTGAGGGAAACTGAGTTTTAATTTTTGGCTCAGTGTAGAATGTTAGATTTGTGGCCATATTTAATGAGGAATTTAGATGTCTGGATCTCAGTTCTCAAAGGATGGAGAGACGGAGCGGGTAATGTCCAGGATTCAGTGTTTTTCCAAATAGGGACCCATGATAGGAAGGGGCTTTACCATCAAGTCAAAGAAGTTAGCCTACAGAAGAGCGCTCTAAATAGGTGTCATATGGGAGGGTGGGGGGCAGGAGCAGTAACAACCCTGTATTAGTGCAGCCAGTTGGTTTGGTTCGGGTTTGCACACTATGAGGAGACTGTGTATGGTAAGAGGCTTTCAGCCAAGGAGGCCACTCAGCATCCTTAGGACACTTACTTTCACTTTCTGATGAATGATAGAATCTTCCTGGAGAAGAGACTTAGCAAAGAATAGAAGCAGGTACGAAGAAAAAGAAAGGTAGAGATTGGCCGTATATGACATGAACTCTATTCTGCAGTTGCCCTGGGCTTTTTGGAAATTTCTGCGGCAGCATCCAGGGCTGTGGAGCTGTGTTTATATGGGCATGGAGGCCCCACCTACTGTCCTTCAGGAACACACTCCCAACCCCTGTCCTGCCGCAGGAGAGAGGAGGAAGCGCTTTTGCTTATGTGTAGGGGAATCCACCTTGGACTTTGCATCAAGACACATTTTACTAAGATACTAGGGATCCAGAGGCAAGTTGTAAACTAGGAAATGAAGCCAGAGCGCTACATTTCTGAGCACTAAGTTCTGGCCACCAAATCTACCACAGTGCCTGGGTTGGCAAGCTTACACCAGCCTGGGAAAGACAGGAGCAGCCAGTCCTCAGTGTTGTAAAGATATTATGAGGTTGAAAAAGACCACTTCTCCAATGCTCTGGGTAGATGTCAGTCTCATATTGCCATGGCCTGTAGTATAGTTGGTAAAGAATGGGATTCTCCACCTAGTTTCTTACCTTCTGTCAGTATTTGATCAGAAGTAATATGTAAGGTTCTCAGCTTTGAATTAGGTAGCCATAAATTTGAATCCTGGTTTTTTACTTACTAGTTCTAAGGTTGAGGCGTGTCCATTGCTCACTAAGACATTGTAGTATGCAATAAATTATATATATGAGTCTTTGAATATCTGAATAAATGTGTGCATATTATTAAAATGTATAGATATGACCACATGTCCCATGATTGTGACAGGCTTTCTTGATAATAGCTATAATTTTTGAACCATTTACTATATTTTAGGCATTCACCCAAGTGCTTTGTATACATTTTATTTGCACAAGCTTATAAGATTGGTATTACTTTTAACTTTTTTTTTTTTTTTTTTTATGGGTAGAACATTGACGCTTAGAGCAACTAAGTAACACACTCAAAGTCTCAAAGAAAATTATACAGCTACTGAGGACAGGGCTGGGTTTCACCTCTGGCTCCCTGATTTAGAATCTCATGCTGTTAAACTACTGTATATATATATACACACACACATATATACTTATATAACATACACATGGAAATATATAGACATGTGAAAATGTGTGTGTGTGTCACCATCCACACTATGAGATGAGACCTGAAGAGACCTGTCCGGTTGTGTTGCAGCAGAGTTTGGATGTACTACTGAGTACCACCATTTTCTTTTTCTTACTTGGCTAATTTTTGTTCTGCATCTAAATGTATCATTACTATTAATTTTAGTGAGTTACACTTGATCAAAACGGAGATAATCTGATTGAGTATACTAAGACTGTAAAGTGCATCCACTTCTGTAATTAGGCACCAATAGAAAATTAAAATTTCCCAGAAACCACCTCTCTAATGAATGTGTAGAATCTTTAGTGCTTGAAATCATCGTACTATTATCAACTGAACACTCTGAAAGCTAAATGTAATAATACATCAGCTCACCAGCTTGAATTTTTGTCACAATGGTTTTATAAAAAGATTCAGTAGAAAGAGGATTGTACAGAACACAAGGCTTTAACAGGAACAAAACAAGCTCCTCATGTACCAGTTTTCTCTTTCGCCTTAAGCAGCAGTAGTATGTTTTCGCACATTCCACCAGTGGAAACAGATTTCTTGTTTTCTTCGTTTTTTGTTTTCTTCCCATACTGCTCTGTTCTATATCTGGTCCAACATTATTCCTTGAGTTAACTAGACGTTAAATCCCTCAAAGCATGAAGATTGTGGCTGGCTGTGTGTAATGTGGGGGCACCATGGTCTTTAAGATTCACTATTGTTGGCCCGATTGGCCCTTGCTTGTCACATGATAAAGAGAGAAGTGAGAGCCCTTTGAAGTGTGTGGAGTGTCCCTTCCCTCCCCTTGGCTCACTTTGGACATGACACCATCCTTACCCTTTTCTGCACTGCCAAAGTAGAGTCAGGGCACCTCTGTTTAGTTCCCGATAATGGAATAAATTAATAAAAAATAGTTTTCATTGTCCATCTTAATCACCTGATTATGCTCTGTTTAGCATTTTCCTGGCTTATATTATTTTTTGTTTTATGTATATTTACTTAACCCCCAAATGTGGTAGTAACTTCTTTAAAAACAAATAGGATTGTCCATATCATGTCTAGCATATATTAGTATGTATTGAAAGAACACGTTTAATTACATTGAAGGGGATTAATGTAAAAAGCAGTATTTATTGCTAGATATTAAAATATTGTCAAATAATGGGTGTGACTGAGTTGTTTAGTTAGAGGTAAATAAGCTAAACTGAGATCCAGACTAGTAAATTTTATCAGATGGTCCTAAATATTGGAATACTACCAAATCTCAGATCACTTTCAATAATATTTATTAAGCACTTAGTATGTGCCAGGGACTATCTTAAGAGCTTTGTAAATGTTGACTCATTTAAACCTTATAACAACCCTATGAATAGATACTTCTATTTTTCCCGTTATATAGATGAGAAAATTGAGGTATGTGGAGGTTAAGAAATTTGCCTAGCATTACATAACTCTGGGGTAGTAGAACTGGAATTTGAATCTTGGCCATCTGGTCTCATAGTCCTTGCTCTTAACAACTCTAACCCTGGAACACCTTGTCTCGGCTTATTGTTGTATATGTAAGCTTGGCAGACTTCACTTATTTCAACTCTACAAAAGCACAAATATGCTTTGTGTTATCTTAAATTTTAAAAATACTATAAGTTCTAAAAATACTACAAGTTTTTCAGGTTGCTGTCAGTTACTGAAGCAAAAGAAAAGCCCATAATAATAAATATAGTTAAGGTCTGTCAAGAACCATGAGCTGATTCTTGGTTTTGAAAAGTGGAGCCAGGTTGTTTTTGTTTCATCCTGATCTTTGTCTTTCACTGGGCTGAAGAAGAGAGTTTTGGTTTACCTCAAATAAGAGGCCAGCTCTCCTTAGCTAAGACCCACTTTATTAACTAAGTTATTGTTTATAAAGAACAGCTGGATGACCAGGTTCCCTTCTGTATCGCTGCTCATGTTCAGGAAGAGTGAGTTGTGTTAATGCAAGTAAGAGATTTTTTTAAGGAAAAATTACTCTATTGAGAAGGGATCGTAACTATGGAGTGAAAGGGAAATGGCCCTTAGCTGCAACCTTTCAAAGCTTGGCCATCACATAGAGAGATGGAGCTGGTTTAGGGTTTTAGTTCCCCTAACTGAACTCTATAAAAACTCCCAGTTCAAACTTGCAGATATATAAATTCTATAGGAATCCAACTGCATTGAGCGTGATAGCCAAGGACCTGCTATAGTCCTGGCTGCAAGTAATAGCTCTGAAAAAAATGTCTTTCTTGAGTTCCTAAGAGGAGACCACCGTTAAAGAAAAATTCCTGATTTTATTATCAAGTCTGGGGGTAGAATTGCGAGTAAATTCTCTGAGGGAAGAGGGCTACTGGTGGTGGGACAAGAGTCCCATTGGAATGGCAGCACTTGGTTCCTGAGTCCCCTAGATGCACAGTATCCGCTTGACTGAATGGGTATTAGTGACCAGACACCAGTTTATGCCCGTAGTTTCCTGCTGGGCATCCCCTGGCACGCCGCCTTGAAGGACCTTTCGTGGGTTAGAGGATCACTGTGTCTGTCCTACAGGAAACCTGAACTTTGAGGATGGAGAGGGGTTTGATAAGAGATACCCCCAGGAGGAAAAGAAAGGTACCGGTGAAGAATACCTTCAAAGAAAGGGACTCAAGACAATAAATGAAGGAATTTTAAAAGAATCCTTAAACATCTACTTTCAGATGTAGATGTTTGCATTTGTGATTTGGGGTATCTTAAGAGTTGTTGTTTTTAAACAGTATCTAACAGTTTCCCTGATTCAGTTTTTCAGGAAAAGGTCTGTGTGTTTGTGCCTGGAGACCTCAGGAGCTGGATAACCTGTCTGCTTTTCTAGTCAGGTTTATGGGACACAATCCCCCAGGGAACAGCTGTTTAGCCGCAGGTCTGTGGAGGAGAGAGCAAAAGGCTGAATGCTGGGGTCCTAGAGAGAGATGAAGGCTAGCACAGCCGACCTGCTTGAGCCTGATGGGGGTGGGGATGGGGTCCTTAATAATCAGGAAGCCAGAGAGGTTGAAAATAGGAATGACTCCTCAATCAGAGTTTCCATAAAAATTACATGAAATTAAATGTATAAAGCAGATAGCAGTGCTTTAGCACATCTGACTGGGCGTTCAGTACCTTCGGAAAATACTCAGTTCCCCTATGTAGAGTGCAGTTGGCCTAGAATATTTCCCTCACATGACCCCACCCCTGCTCCCCGCAGCTGGCCAACTCCTCTTCTTTTGGGTTAGAGTCCCTTCTCTCAGTACCTATGCTGTTGCATTCTCCTTAGAAGATTGCAGATAAGCTTTAAACCCAGAAGAATTTATACCCACCATGAAAACAACCAATGCTCAGAAGAGGGTTCAGCCCTGTATTGGAGGAAGGGAGGCTGGATTTAAGGAGAGAGAGAAGTGGTTTGTGTAAAGGGCCTCTCACCAAAGTTGACCACAGGACCCTTTTCCAGGGACTTCAGATGCAGCTTTTTTTTCCTGTGCTCTCTGATCTCTGCTCATCTCAAATACCTAGAGGCTCTTTGTCACTCTGCCTGAGCACTCATCTTCTTACTACCCAGACAAGTCATTCTGCGGAGTGTGTGTGTGCACCCATGCATGTGTGTTGTATTTGATGTTGCTGAAAATCCTGAAGATTTTTAACTTTTCAGATTGAATCTCCTTAAAATTATAAATAAACATTAACAAAAATAATATACTTAAAATACTAAGAATGTCAATTATATAAGACAGCTGTTTTGTCTTTTGTGACCATATTATTTTACAGATGAAAAGTTTTGTCAGTCCCTTGGATAATGGGCATGGGGTTCTTGGAGCACTTCAACATAAAATCACCACACAACTTTAAGATGTGGGAGCTATAAATTGCTAGATTTCATATTCTTCCAGGAATGAAATATGTGTCATCTAGGTGATTAATCCTAGAAAAGCTGTCTCTTGAGAAGGGTGGGGTGCCATTGCCTTTTGGAAAAATGAAGCATCTGTGAGAACAATGGCCATCACTGGAAAGAGTGGGGTCCGTGTATGATTTCTGAGAGTGTCCTGGAGGGCCCAACGAAAGGACTTACTCTGGAGACTTATTTTTATTTTCTTAGGAAAAAAGTAAGCCCGCAATCAGCCTGTTTCCCTCCAGGAATTTCCAATGCTGAGTTCTCTGCCCAGAACACTCAGGGGGGTTCTGGGCTTTTCTGGACTGCTTGGCTACGGGTGGGAATTGT